AGAAAGTTACCTCTAGACAATGAACTTTCCTTTTCATCATGACCAAGAAAAGGCAACCCTTGGAACAATAACCATTTAATGGTTTCAATTGAAGCTTCTAATCTCTTACGATAGGCACTCATGGTTTCCGCTGTTTGTTTTGATAAAGCGGTGGCAATGCTACTCATTTGATTCATGAAAAAGTTCATAGCAATCACATCATTATTGTGAGCACTCTTGTGTCCACCAACATGCTTTACAATTGTGTCTCTTCTATTCCAACGTCTGAAACCTCCATTAACAAAAGCATCCACTCCCGCTGTGTTACCATCCTTAAATAGATAGCAAATGAAACAAAAGGCAGCATCTTTCTCAACACTATACTCAAGCCATGTTGGCCAAGTATCAAACCAATTAACATTAAATCGACATTTTTTCGGCCCAAAAAGTGTTTGAGGAAACGCATGATCTTTAGGTTGACATGGCTTTCTTTGAATGTATGTTCTCCGCACTAAATCCCTATCATCAGGATGAAAATCACACATCCTTCTTCTTTTCCCGGGGTCTTGTGGAAGATTAATAATATCAAGTGCACTTAACCTTCCTTCACCAATTTGAGCACTAGGATCCGAACCACCTTGGGGAAAAGATTGCCCATCTTCATTTTGAGGGAAATTGTGAGATGGGGAAGAATGTTGTTCACTAGCATGATATAAAGGAGAACTTGGTTCACTTTCTTGAAAGGGTAAATCATTTTGTGGAGGAGGAGTATCATTTTGTGGAGGAGGAGTATCATTTTGTGGAGGAGGAGGATTTAGAGTACGCACTTTTTTAGTAAAAAAACTTGAAATATCTCGAGTTGTTTTTCTTTTCATTCTGAAATTGAAGTTAAATGTTGAATTAGATAAATCATACAAGAAGGTAGGGTTCTCTCAAAGTTAATAAAACTAATAATATTATCAAAAGAACGCTCATTAACCTCAATTTCAATCCATCCTTCAACCCCAAATCTCCAAATTAGCAATCACCATTCTCAATAGCTAATAAGCAAGTTGGACAACTATTATCATTTATCAATTAAACAGAAATAATACTATAAAATAATAGGGCTCAAATGGTCAAATATCGGCCACAACTCACATTCACAAATCACAACATTCAACCTCTAATAAAATCATACAGATAATCAAGTGACGATAATCAAGTCATAAGATTCAAGCTCTAATAAAGTCATACAAATAATCAAGCTCTAATAAAATCAAGAAATTTCACCAAAAAAAAAAAAAAAAGTGAATCGTGATATACATATAATCTGATAATTTTGATAATTAAACATTTAAACTGATGATTTGATATAGAATCTAATCAATTTGCAATGTAATTATGTAAATTAAAAGTTTAAAACTAACCTCAAAACAAAATTGAATTCACGGAGTACGGAATGAAGACCTCACACTCACGCCTGAGCAGAGCTTGTTGCGGTTGCGGGACGCCGGGACAGACGACTGAAGTTGCTGGCGAGGTCGGCGACGGGGTTGCTGGCCAGTGGTTTTGCTACGGTTGCGGGCAGTGGACTGAACTAAGTCTCACGCTGCTCTGTTCTCAGTCTTCTCACGCTACGCCTCAACGCCGCTAATAGGACGCCACGACGGTGAGAAGGAGCAAGAAAAACGGCCGGTGTGGCGGTGAACGGCGACGGGGTTGTTGGAGTTTGGGGATTTCGATTTAGGTGAGTTTGGGACTTAGGGTTTTAATTTGGGGGAATTGGGGTTCTGACTTATGTTTTCATTCTAAAGCAAAAAAAAAAAAAAAAAAAAATTGTGAGTAATGGGATTTGAACCCACGTCTCATGAGTGGTAGGATGGGAAAAAAACCACTAGGCTGCAAGCTAAATCCTTAATACATAGTGTTTTTTTTTTATAAAATAATAGGTGGTCCGCGGACCCACTATGACTACACGTGGGTCCGCCACTGTGTACATCAGTTTCGTACACTGTTCGTATCAAATTGCGTACTCTTAAGTCAAATTTATGTGCATGGGTGAAACAAATTTATAGGACTTCTCCAATCCCTAGTAATAGTCTAAGTTATTATCAAAGTGCAGAAACAAAGAATTTTGTACCTTGAATAATTTATTCACTAGGAGTACTACTAGTTATTGACGTTGTTGGCCTTGACTAGTGATGTTCTTAAATTTGTAGGTTGTGTATAAATCCAAATTACATTGGTTGTCGGGAGGATATCGAATGTTCATCCTCTGAGACCGGAGAAGAGCGCAACTATTAAGCTCCCTTTATGGCGCTGATTGTTTTGATGTAAGCAAGTTTTGCAGATGAGATTTGATATCTAATTATATATTGATGTATATGTCTATACACTCAAGACTAACCAAAAATTTTTTACTAATTGAGATTTATCAAGGAAAATTCTGCCTTCGATGAATGTAAAAACACTGCAACATAACTACATACAAAAATCCAAGAATAATCTAGCGAGCCAATTATGACACTTTGCATCTATTACGTGCGCAGTACTATGGTTTCAAAATTACTATCTAGAATCCAAAGTCCAATAAATTAACCTTAACTAATTGTCTAGAAATGACTAGATTATTCACTAGAACTACGTTACAATTGGAAGAAGTCTCAAGCTTGTAATCTGTTGTATCAATTGAAACTTTAACAAGTGCAAATGAAACAATCGCGAGTATGTGTTTTTAGAATGTATGAATGCTAACTTGAATTATACACATAATGACATAAACACATTGTGTTAAATGTAAAAGGTTTTTTTCTCAGAAAAAAAATGTAAAAGGTGTTAATTATAAATAATTTAATAATTATGCAATCTAGCTAGTACGTATACGAGTATTAATATATATTGGGTATGCGACGAGATGTTAAAAGTGTCACATAATTTTGATAACATTATTGTATAACATACTATAGGATAAGACATTATGGTTTTCAAATAAAACATTTCAAAAAGGATGAGAGTGGAGAATACTCAATTGATTAGAGCTTTTCTCCCAATTCTAAGGGATCGGAAAAAAAAAACATTTCAAAAAGAATGAAGAATAATTTTAAGGTGTAGTTAAAAAATGGTGTGACACACTGATCGAGCTTTTTTGTTTCAGGAGCAATAACAATATCGTTAATAATAAGCCAAATGACATCTACAATGAATATATTTAAACCCCATATTTAAGGAAAAGAAAATACTGTATATACTCAGTCACTCTCTTTCATGTATGTTAAGACTTTAAAGAATTTATGTTTTAAGTTTTCTTACAAAAACATATGATGGTCCTCCACCTTCTCCCTATAGTTGCTTCGATATTGCATTATGTATTACCATGATTGATAGGCAAAAAAATACCCATATATATACATATATATATATATATCATTATAAAATATTTTTTGAAAAAAAAGAGACCAATATTTTTAGCAAATGAGATATTACATCTGTTTATCAAAGATAGTCCTACTTTCCATCTACTTGTGCTCCTTAAAAATCATCTCACTTTTATTTTATTCTAATTTCGAACCGCAATTTTTCTATGTGGCTGGTCAGACCATATCGTTTGACGGGAATTACTTGTAGGGATTACTTGTTTATAGATTACTTATTTAGGGGTTACTTGTAGGGATTACTTACTCAGAGGTTACTTGTAGGAATTACTTATTCAGGGGTTACTTGTAGGGGTTACTTACTCAATCGGTTAGCACGTTTTCTATGTGAGAGTAATCCCTGACCGACCGACTAATCCTTGAATAAATAACCCCTATAATTTACCTCTAACCAAACAAGTAACGCCTGAATAAGTAACCCTTACAAGTAAGCCCTGACCAAACGAGTAATCCCTACAATTAACCCCTGCCACACGGTGTGGCCAACCACATATTAAAAAATTGTGAATTTTAAATGGTGTATTTTTTATTCATTAATCACACCACATGGATCATTTAATTCATTTAATAACACACAATATTCAACTTTTATATTATTCACACAAATACCCCGTATTATTTTATAACCATATATTATGAATTTAAAAATGATATGTAAAGAAAATTATATTTTCAAGTCATATAAAAAAAAAAACTTTTAATAATCTATACTTTACATAATTAAATTATTAAAGTTGTATTTTGTTATGCGTAAAACTCTACCAACGCTTATGATATTTATGAAATAGTGGAAGTATCAAATTTACCAAAAAAATGTGCCCACTTTTCATTAATTTCCTCTTTTTCTTGATTATTATCATCGTTAATATTTACGGAACAATGCCGGGAATATGGTCCTAAAACAACAATAATTCGACAAAATTAAAGAGATACAATCCTAAAACAACAATTACTTTAATATCGAGAGGAGGTACACCAAATCGATCGACGGCAAAGAGACCTACTACGTATTTTAATATTTCGGGTACAATTGTACATTTTTTTTTTTTTTTGTTTTTTGATAGTAGGGTACGATTTAGTGCACGTATAAATAATTAAAGCTCCAATAAACAGATGTAAATTTGGTCAGTACAGTGTACCTTTTTCCAAATTATTTTTGTACGTGGGGATTTCTTTTTCTTTTTTAAAAAAAATTGCTTCGTATTAAAGTTATCATAATTATACTCTATCCATTTTACTCCATAGAATAATTAACACAATTTGATAGGGTATATTAACCAACCAAAAAGTTTGATGTCAATAAATGGAAATGCATCTATGTAAATTTATATTGCCTTTAAAAAAAATGTGGTACTATGGAAACTACGAAGTATGTAATTATATGAAAACTAGAACCTAAGACTTTTTGCACAAACTCAATGCATTACCACTATGACAAAACTAATTTAATATTATTTATTGCATTAAAATTGTATTTAACCTATAAAGTTACTACTTTACCTAATTAAAAAATAATATTATTTTTTTTGATAGGGCAGGTGCCACCCAGGCCCCTTAATAGGTCCTTCCCTGGTAATACTCTCTTCATCCTATATTATAGTGCCTTTTCTCATTTGTTTTTTTTCCACAGGAATGATGGGTGTAATAGGAGAGTGTATTTTAGAATTCATACATTGTATTTTGGAATGGAAAGGAGTGAGTAATATAGAGTACCCTATAATTCATACCCAAAAAGTAATTGTATTAGACATGAACAACATTATGAGACATCCAAATAGGAATTCATACACTGTATTTTGGAATAGAGTGGAGTGAGTAATACAAATTTAACAACTTTAACATGATAACACCTACTCCGTATTAAACATATTAGATTTAAAAAAAAAAAAAGAAATGATCAAAAGTCATTATATATATAGTGCAAAAAGATAATGTGTGTATGTTATTCTAAAACGGATCTGAATAGTGGTTTAGATTTTTTTTTTTTTTTTTTTTTTTTTTTTTTTGAGTAAAAAGAATCATAAAGGTAAAAGTGCAAACAAGATTCAATCTCGAATTTGGTATCAAACCTATAAAAGTTTCCAAATAGGTATCTTCGCTTATAGGATGTGAGTTTATACCAAACGTATAATGGACACTTGAACTACGATAGTTGACATATACTTGCATTAGATGGAATAATTAATCAGAAAACATTTTCATGACTTCATCCTTACCTATGGCTCAAAAAGCAGCCCCTCTCACCTCTCACTAAGACAGCATTATTTGGGTCCTCTTTGTGAGACATTAAATGCCATGGAGCTGGCACTTTTCAAGGTACACATTATATATAGTCCCCTCTCACACATTCCTCTCATATCAGTCACACATACCCAAAACAAATCAACAAACAAAACAAGAAAAAGAAACTTCTTTTCTTTTATTTAAGTTTTAGCTAAGCATAAATAAAAAAAAAAATGACGGGTAAGTTCTTCCAAGTATCCTTAAACAAGTGCAGGAAAATGAGCAGCAAAGTTATACATTCATCAGAGTATGAATGTGAGTCTTGCTGTCAATGGTGTTTTTGGCCATCGTTGAGTTTACAGCAAGAAGCCGAAAAGTTCATCCCTAAGGATGTTCCCAAGGGTCATATGGTTGTATACGTTGGCCATGATCAGAAGAGGTACGTTATCAAAATCACCTTGCTTAAACACCCGCTTTTTAAAGCTCTGCTAGACCAAGCTAGAGACCAACACGACGATTCCACCACACCGCCACGGCTATGGATTCCATGTGATGAACATGTCTTCCTTCATGTGGTCAGATGTGCCCGGTAACAAGCAACAACTGAGCCTCAAGGGGAGAATCATAAGTCATGACCCTCTTTGGTGTGAAAACTGTATGTGTATTTGGCAATTGGCATTATTTGAGGCCTTTTTTTCTGACTAATGTGAGAATGACATTCTTTGTAAGATAATGTAGTGAATAAGATTTGTATGAATAGCTTGTAAGTTAATTATCTATGGCTGAAGTCCTCATTTTTAGACTGAATGATTTCCAGTTGCATGATGATGTACATTTATTCTCTCTTTTTTTTTTTTACTTTTTGTAAAAAAAATAATTTGTTTGCTTTTTTTTTTTTAAAAAAAAAAATATATATATATATATATATATATTGTGGGGTGTGTGGGGGCATTGGGGGGGGGGGGTGTTGAAGAAGAAAATAAAAATGAAAAAACTTGCACAAGTTTTAAGAATAATACTTAATTTGGATTATTGTGGCATAAATAGTTGATACAAAATTTTACAGCACAAAGTAACCTCAATTTTACTGCTAAATAAGAACTCAAGTTCCTGAACAGTAGCAATGCTAAACAAGTAATCAGTCCTGATAGCAGGACTTGTACATGAGGTTAGTTAAAGTCACCTGGTAATTGGTAATGACATTTATAATGTTGATATAAAAGCAGCTATTGCCATGGAACTGAAATATCTTCAATTGGAAGATTCTAAAATCAAATTCACGGCTGCATCAACAGTTTTGGCTAACTCGGTCGCTGCTCCAATATATGTGTGTGGTGTTAGCTTCAAGAGATTGGCCTTTGCTTCCTGCGGCAATTTCAATCCTTGAACAAACTCTTGCATGCTTTCTTGAGTGACTGCCTTTCCCCTTGTAAACTCCTTTAACTTTTCATAAGGCTCTGGGACACCATATCTTCGCATGACCTGTGTATGATGAACGCGTCAATGGCCAGTTCAACTACAAATGATGTAGAAAATCACGTTGACACAACTTCAAACAGGTAAAAGCATAAATTCTATTACTGAATGAAGACTTTCTACTTGACATGAAAGAGAATATGGTTTACAAGGACAAAGGAAAACATAGCTATGTTAGAAAGACAATCAGATTTTACCAACAAGGTGAATTAACCAATTTACACAACTTCTACCCCTCCTTATACAAGAATTTCAAAGTCGTCTGAAGATCTATAGCTAAATTCACGGTCAATTGAGTCAAATCTAGTCTTTCAACTTTCCATACAGTGTGGTGGTCTTAAAAATCTCCCGATGATAGACAACAGACTAGCATGTAAAGGGAGCTGGAATAAAAATCTAAGAAATTCGTAAAATTGTGGCAACTTAAAAATCTTTCTTGTAAATATTAAAGTTCCTGGACAGTTACCAGTTGAGACAATCACAGTCATGCAACTCACCAAGCACATGTAAGCTATACCCTACAGTCTTTGAAGTAGATATGATTACTTGTTTGATGAGCAATTGAGCATAGCCTCAACTAAGTGTCAGGAAATGAAAATAAATGTGGAAGAAAAACTAACCAATAACCTCTACTCTACGTCTCTATCAGTGTAGAGTTTCTCTATATTTTCCTTTTTAGTATGTGGGGAAAGTCCACCAAAATAGGATCTTTTACTAGTTATCAACTCATTCCTTCATGAGAGTACGGAAATATACGAAGATTTTGACACTACAATTATTTGTTAAAAAGTAAAAAGCAGGATCTATAATTTTCTGCCAAGAGTGCAATGGTAATATTTATTATTTGGAGTAAATGCATATGATACAGTTACATACTGTTTGTATAGGCTCTGCAAGTACTTCCCACGAATGGTTCAAGTCTTCATCCAACCTTGTTTGGTTCACCTGTTTGTTCATACAATATCAGATTGAGATACAAAAAGTAAACAGAAGGATAAGTGGCAAATTGGCAATAGTGGTATATAAACAGATGCTTTAACTTCTTAGTTCTTAAGGATTGCAAATCCTACTTTTAATCAAAATGTTAATTCCTTACGTAGAGTAACAAACGCAAATGACCAAAAAGGGCATTAGGTATGTAGAGGAGACCTCATCTAAATAGTATAGTAAGTACACAGTAAAAGACTTAATACAACAAGAAAATATATTAACAGTAAATATGATATTGTAGAGGTGTACAAAGGAGTGCAAGCTAGAGAGGTCCACTAATTTTTAGTAACGATACAGATTTGTTTTTCAATAACTAAAAGACTATGGTCATTTTCCGAATATTCTACCAAGTTCAAAGCAGGAAACACAATCAGAAAAACATAGAAATTATGTAATAGTATATCTGTAGCATCAACCAAATACAGGTCAAGAAACCTCCTTATTTGCTTGTACCAAATGAAACAGTTACAAAGAACACAATGCATGTTTTACTGACCTGAAGCTTTCCAATACCCTGCAGGGTACTTCTGTAGGCTAGTAGGGAGTGCCCTAATCCTTCGCCCATAGTCCGCAAAACAGTTGAATCAGTCAAGTCACGCTGCAATGTATAGTTTGAGTTAAAATTCAGCAAGACAGAAGCAACCAATCTAGAATATAAATGTAAAATTTCTGCTTTCCTAGACACCCACTTAATTCAGATTCAAATTAAGTACAGTGCACCACATCTTATGAAGTCACCTACCCTGCCCACAGCATCTAGACCAGTATTAGACAATAATGTACACATTTGGGCCAAATAACCCCATTCTCAAGAAAAATGATACCAGAGTTACTCTCTCAGAAGTATCCTTTCCAGAAAAGGATCGAAGAGCGGCCAGCCAAAAAAGTTAATATGACTTTACAAAAACTAAAAATAGGACTCGATGCTAGTGTGAAGAAAGAACAAAACAAGAAAGCAACAAGAAAGGAATAGTTCCCATCGTAGCATGGCAAAGGTATGGAGACAAGTTGTAAATCTGGAAAATTCTAGATAAACAGCATTTTGGATATTGCAAGTTTACAAAAAGTGGGATGGAGTTGGTAAATCAAGTCTTTAAGCAATATTTTGCACATTTCAGACCAGAATGCTCTTTAAGATTAAGTGATTAACAAGGCTTTTCAATGTCACAAAAAATGGTTGTAAACTTCAGCCAAATATTTCCCATCGTAGCATGGCAAAGGTATGGAGACAAGTTGTAAATCTGGAAAATTCTAGATAAACAGCATTTTGGATATTGCAAGTTTACAAAAAGTGGGATGGAGTTGGTAAATCAAGTCTTTAAGCAATATTTTGCACATTTCAGACCAGAATGCTCTTTAAGATTAAGTGATTAACAAGGCTTTTCAATGTCACAAAAAATGGTTGTAAACTTCAGCCAAATATTGATCACAAAAAGCAGGACAAAGATGAAATTTAAAGCCCAGGAAACTGCAAGAGCTCTACAGTAGCATGACATAATTCAGACCAGTATGACAAAGCCTGAAGACAAGGAGCATACAAGAATACAACTATGGTGACAAGGAAAGCAAATTAGGTGTATGGTCAAATCTTAATAAAAAAATAACAGGACGTTACCTGCCATCGCGAGATAGGCAACTTCATGCTAAGAAAAGATAGACCAGCATTTGCCTTGCCAAGATTCCCTTCACTATTTTCAAAATCGATAGGGTTCACTTTGTGAGGCATTGTAGATGACCCAACTTCACCCGCCTTAGTCAACTGCAGATGATGAATATTCAGTTTTTTTTGTACAAAGGAATTAATACTCACTAAGTAATTAAGTGAAACTTCTACAAGATTAAAAAAGGAAAGAAAAAAAGTCACCTGCTTAAAATAACCCACTGAAATATAGCCCCATATGTCCCGGTCAAAATCAGTCAAAATATTGTTGAACTGGATAGTTGCATGGAACAGACTAGCCATATAGTCATGAGGTTCAATCTGCAAATGCATTGCACATATATATTAACAAATGTTATAGGTTCAATCTGCAAACACTTGTTATTCTAGCCAATAATTCCATAAAGCACTAATGACCACACGTATCTTCTATCCAACTGGTAAAAATTCAATCTCAACAGATATCTTGTAAATGGATGATGAACATAATAGCATCGTCTGTGACAAATATAGCAATTTGATAGCAAGATGAAATGCAATTTAGGACAGAATGCCATACTGAAATTGATATGACAGAATATCAAAATTTTAACGTGCAATTCTAATCTTTTGAAAATTTGCCTAATGATTTTGTTCTTAAAAACTTTGCAAAATGGATTCTTGTCTAAATTACATTATATAGGAACAGGAGAAAACTTTTGAAACATCTTGAATACTCCGTACTTAATATCTAGTTCATTAAGGACACATATGATCATTTTATTTCCATATACCAAGATCACATAATAGGTTTCAAGATATACCTCATGTAAAAGGTTATGGAGACCTGCAAGATATATGGGTGCCACTACTTATCTACCTAAATTTATACACCGGTGGTTCTGAAATCAGTACCAACTAAAGTATCTTTACAAAACTTCAAGCAAAACAGTAACTACCAAATTGAAAATGAAGATAACAAAACCAACAGATAAGCAAACTAAATATTTAACCTATAAGAAACCATGTATAAAAAGATGGCAAAGTCGTCAACTGTAAATTGCAACTAAAATATTGCAAATGTACCTGAGTGACATAAGGATTGAAAGTTAAACCTAAAGATTGCACAAATTCTTCTGCAATCTTTGGCCAATCGATCTCAGGATATGCAACCATATGAGCATTGTAGTTCCCAACAGCACCACCGAATTTCCCCAATAACTCAATCTGAGATAGTCTCTGCCTCTCTCTGCTTAATCTGACTGCAAATATTGCCATCTCTTTTCCCAAGGTGGTGGGTGAAGCTGGCTACATAATATAAGCACAGAAAGGAAAATGGGTGACTGAGCAATCAGCAAGAGAAGAACATATAAAACATTTAAGGCACACTATTGGAATCAAATCAATCAATTCTATTAAAATGGGGGCAAAACATCTATTTTCACAAATGACAACAAAGTAACAAACAATTAGTTAGATAATCACACTCTTTTTCAGTGGACAGATAGAGTATAACAAGAAGGCACTAGGATGGATATCTTCTATCCGAAAACTAGTGGTTCGCCCTGTCAATCCCCCAGGGCCCAAATAACTCAACTTTCTCCCATGAACGATTTGCGTCAAGGGATTAGTTCGATCCAAAACTTGAGATAATGGATGTAATCCAAAAAAAGATTCAAAAGTTGTTGTTAATGGGGTTGAAGTTACCAAATTCTGAGGAGTCGGTATTAATTTATGCCGAATTGCTGCACATATAGTTCCTCGAACCACGTTTTCAAAATGAACTAGAGCCAATCCGAATTGATCTTGTAAGAGATCTGCGACAGACCGAATACGTTTATGTTTCAAATGATTCATATCATCAAGTGTACCCATTCCAAATTTCATTCCAATAAAATGATCCGCAGCTGCCAATATATCCCGTGGTAACAAAAATGTATTGGTTTCGGGTATATATTGAGGAAGTTATACATGTAAGCACAATTTTGGAGAAAGGCGTGGGAAAAGACATAAAGGTGGGATTACAGAAGCAAATAATTTCAGAGATAATACATTAATCATATTTAAATTAAGAAAGCTCCGCTACCAGCCAAACACATAATTCATGGCTGACACTAGAAGATGCAAATGGCCAATAGTGTTAACTTAGTAGGATATGTGCCTGATCAGGACAATGAAAATGGTGCTAATTGGAAGCTCAGCTAGTGAAATGGCAACGTTGCTATACTGAAGAAGGTTGGGAGTACAATTTCCAACTTCAACTACTAAAAGTGCTTGCAAGTAAGAGTACAGAGGAGGCAAATAAAGTTTTTGTCTCCACGAGATTGAAAGCTCTTTTCATTGTGGATCATCAAAATCCCCATCAATTATTCAATTTTATGTATAGATTGGTCACCTAGAGCTAAAGTGCACATATTGTGTGAATTTCACCATGATTTCCTCCCTTTACTATTTACAGATACACAGGTACAGGAGGTAAATCAGTTCTTGAACAAATTCCTCAATTTCCCATAATCTAGGCAAAAGCCATTGTCTCATTGAGCACCATTGAAAGGTTTACCATGTAAACTTACCTGTCCATGAGTGCGGGAAAGCATAGGAATATGCGCGTACTCCTTAGCCATGTTACATATTGCTCTTATAACTTCATCCATGACAGGAAATAAAACTTTATTCAATGCTTCTTTGAGCATCAATGCATGAGCAAGATTGTTGATATCCTCAGATGTGCAAGAAAAATGAAAAAACTCCAAAACCTGCAATAAGAGCCGAGGATGAAAAAGGTAAACATAGAACAATTTCTTCTAAGGCATTCTTTGCAGTTTCGGTATTATTAATAAAAATTTCAACATCGTTCAGCGAAAGATTGAAATCAAAACCTTAGAGATCTCTGGATGGGACTGGCACTTATCCTTCAGGAAGTACTCAATTGCTTTCACATCATGATTGGTGACTTTCTCAATATTTTTCACTTCCAATGCATCAGCCATGCCAAATTCATCAATCAAACTTTGCATATACTGATGTGTTTCATTAGTAAAGCCCGGCACTTCAATCACTTCAGGAATTTTGGACAACATCATTAACCATTTAATCTGCAGTATGAATGTCAATTATAAACCTAAGATAACATAAACACAAGGAAGAAATGACAATATGAATCAAACAAACAATTTCATCACAATACAGGGCAATAAACATTCAGCTTAAGTGCTTAACTAAACAAGCAAAATATCTCTCATCTATATTAGACTCCTGAAAACTTCATCCATGTATAAACTAATTGATTATGAGTAACTTATTACTATACACAAAACATCTTTTACAACTACTTACCCTACATTAAACTATATAAGGCTCCTGAAAACGTCATCCATGTATAAACTAATGCATCTTATTAGAAGCACATACAAAACTAAAACTATCACACTACAGTTTCATATCACAATAACAGTGCCAATAAAATTAAACTGCATTCATGCACTGCAAAAGAGTAAGAATTTAAACTTCCAAGTTCAACAAACAAACCTCAACAATAACTCGGTATCGAATTAACCCATATTCACTCATAAAAGGAGCCAATTCCTTGACTTTATTCCAGTATCGACCATCCAAGGGAGATAAAGCTGTCAAACTTGAAAGCTCAAACACACTATAATCTCCCTCATTTGACCCCTTCACCTGCCAATAAAATTCAACCATTTTCAACACAAAATAAGAACCAAAAAACTCAATTGATAAAATAAAATTCAGCATATTTAGAACCCAAATTAATTCCAAAACTTCAATGTCAGTAAATTACAAGAAAAACTCAAAAAGTAAAAAACCCCATTATAGTGAAATAAGCAATAAAATTGATTAATCAATAATACCTTAGAAGGAGAAATGGTGGCGTTGTTAGTGGTGATAGCGGCCGTGCAAGAAAAGGGTTTTTTGAGAGAAAAGGAAAAACCCTTTGAAGGAAAAAGGTTGGTTTTCAATGGAGTTTTGTTGGAGGAGAGAGAACATAAATGGTGGTTAGTTAAAACCCTGAAAGTTGAAGAAGAAGAAGAAGATACTGCTGCTCCAAACTCCATGAAATTGAAACTTCAAACCCAGAAATTATGAAACTCAAGTGAAACGAAAGAGTAAGCGTACAAATTGCAGGAATAAATTATGTGCTCTTCTTTTTAAGTGCACGATGAACCTGTACGCAATTTTGGGCCGGATAATCGGGTATGGGTTTGATCGGTTTAGACTAGGGTCAAGAAAATTCATACCAAGTCATGGAGGTGTGAACTGTTAAACATCGCCCGCAAATTCCTACATAAAGCCCACAAAATAAGAGTGAAATGTCACTTTTGCCCTCATACTAAAAAACACACAATTTCTCTCTCTACTCTCTACTTCCACTTTCTCTCTCTAAATTATTTCCAGAGCTATGTCGAGGCGGCCCGGCAAGGAAGTGGCGGCACCGGCGGTGGGCGGAAGGCGGTTTGCCGGCCAGAAGGTAAATTTTTTAATTTTTGTAATTGTTTTTTAAAAAAAAAACCTCCGGCGACGGTGGGGCGCCAAGGGGAGACGCCAACACCACGGCGGAGGCGCCTAGGCAAGGCGCCCATACGGTGGTAACGGCGCCAAGCCCAGACGCCACCACCACGGCTGTGGCGCCTAGCCTCTGCGCCGCCGCCGTGGTAGTGGCGTCTGGGCTTAGCGCCGCCACCACCGTATGGGCGCTTTGCCTAGGCGCCTCCGCCGTGTTTTTTTTTTTAAATTTTTTTTTTGTTTTTTTTTTAATTTTAAATTTTATTTTCGATTTTTTTTTTTTTTTAAAAAAATTTGTTTTTCTTTTTTTTAAATTGTATGTTCCCTTTTTTTTTTATCTTTTTTTTTTTAAATTTTGTTTTTTTATTTGTTTTAATTTTATATTTTTTATGTTTATAATTTTATTTCCGTGACTTGTTTATTTGCTTTTGTGTTTATTTTCGACTTTTTTTAATTTGTTTTCGTTATTATGTTTCGTTATTTACTTGGAGTTAGGCATCTTAAATATGAAATGGCCATACAACATGCCATGTCGTCGTCTGGAGTCCTCGAGATAGTTCTTGATGCCGTTCCTCTGAGTATCAATAGCCTTGTTTATTCTCTCGAACAGTGTATCCAGAGCAGCCGTGGAAGAATCAATCCAGTCCTTCAAAGCTCTATGAGCGCTCTCGACTCTGCATGTCGTAGTGTTCCCAAAATGAAGAACTTGGTTCGTCCAATATTTGACAAACTTTTCCCTCTGAGGTACCCACTGATGCATCACATAGTCTACGATTGGCGGGCACCACTTGTACGCATCCTTTAAGTTTTCCAAGGCTCGATCGTACTCTGCCTCCGTGGTAGCTTGCAGGATCTTCCGCCACTTACCATTTACCAATCTCTCTGCTGAATCTAAGTTCTTGTTGAAAAGGTTGTAGGCTTTGACTTTCACGCAGTTGTTGATGTGCCATGTGCACAGTAAATGGCTCGACTCCGGAAACAGCTCCGCTATAGGGGCAAAAAGACCTCCCTCACAATCACTTACGATGGCCGATGGCTGTACATTTGGGCCGATGTAGTTTCTCAACTTTTCCAACACCCAACGGTAACTCGCAGCCGTCTCATCCTTCATGACTGCATAACCAATCAGAAAGTTCTGGTTCGTTGGAGCCATCCCAACCATCTCAACCAGTGGGAACTTGTACTTGTTTGTCTTGTACGTTGAATCGATCAAAATCACAGATGGCCAAGACGAAATCATATCAGCACAATCAGGATGGACAAGGAACAAATGAGTTACCTCCGATGTGTCTTCGTCAGATTCAAACCAGTAAAGGTAACCACGTGCTTGTGCCTGGTGCAGAAGCTGCTGTATAGGGTTCCTTCCCTCTGACCGTTCAAACCTCAATTTCTGTCTGACGTTGTAGATGTGTCTTCGGTTTGGCTGGTCTTCGGGGAATTTCTCTAACACAGACGCTAATATTTTAGCGGGCTTCACTTGAGCATCACTCATTTCTTTTACAACTAGTTTCGCAGCTGGACTTAGGCCGCTTAACTGCCGATGCCCCACTTTGTATGCTATCAGCTCATGGTTGTGATATCCCCATTTGTCGTAACCCTTCACTTCCCAACCGTCACGCCTTTGATGTTGTCGAACCTTAACTCGGAACTGACACCCACAACCTTTCCGCTTTGAGTCAAACCGAATCGCTTTACTGAAATCTCGTTCTTCTCTTTTGCGATAACGGTCGCATCTCAAAATGCGATCCATTCTACCATCCCGTTGAGATTTATGAGTTGCTACTACTAAACAAAAGCCTGATCTAATTGCAACCTGTTTTGCCCAATCAATCGCTTGTTGAGCATCTTCGAACAGGCCATCATGTACAAAAATCCCACTGTAATCATTTCCGTCTCCACCATAATCCTGTAACAATAACATATAACGTATAAATATAATTACATTAAGATTAAATTAACAAAAACAAACAAAAAAAAAAAAAAAGGGGATTAAATTAAAAAATAAAATAAAAAAAAAAAAAAAAAAAAAAAAAAAAAATATTCCCCTACTGGCGCCTGGCCAGGACGCCGGAGCCACGGCCGGGGCGCCTGGTCAGGACGCCGCCGCCATGGTGGCGGCGTGGTGGCCAGGCGCCTCGGCCGTGGCTGCGGCGTCATGGCCACGCGCCACTACTATGGTCGAGGCTTCTCAACCAGGCGCCGTGACCACGGTGGCGGCGTCCTGGCTAGGCGCCACAACCACGGCATGGCCTTTTGGCTAGGCGCCAGCCACCATTTCGTCCTTACGATGCGTTACGAACCTCGTTTTCCGATGACGACGGCGATTCTCCGGTGATCCTCGGCGATCCGGTGCTGCTCCACATTTTTTTAGTGCGAAAAAATTATCTTCCGTTAAAATTATAAAAAGGGCAAATTTGTCAAAAAATTATAAAATGTGGGCTTTATGTAGAGATTTGCGGGCGATGAATAACAAGTCCCTTGGAATTTTGAGTTGTAGTGCCATGTGTTCAATTTTTTCATATATACGAAGTATGAATTAATTTTTTTGATTATTTGATGCTTGAAAGTTTGGAGTGAGGTAAACCCACGTCTCTAAGGGTGAGTTTATTTCCAAATTCAGACTCAGACTTCAAACTCTGTCACATCAGTTTTTCACTAACTTTTAATTACTTTTTTTATTATTCAGACTTGTGTAACTTACACAAGACTCTTTCTATTATCACACATTATCCCAAGACTCACTCTAAACTCATTTACCCTTCTAAATACTAACATTAATTATTCTACAACTTGTGTTGAGTTGGCAATATATTATTGGCCATGCAAAGTTTGTCAGCTTATTGCCCCCACATGCATAGTCTTAAGATGGGTTTTCATCTGCCAAACCGCATGCAAGACTCATGATAGTCTTTTATGACATTATTGCGAAAGTTTTGCATGAGGCTCTTCTTGACACTCCGCTTCAGACTTGTGATAAAGACACCCTAAGTTTTAAATCTTAGGTCTCGTTTGGTTGATGTAGGAAATAAGTTTCCATGGGAAATTCTAATTTATGGGAAATCACTTCCTTTATAAAAATTCTTAGGAATTAAACAAATGTGTTTAGTTGTCATGTGGGAATTTGTAAATCGTTGGAATTGTGAATGACCAAGGGTGGGGTAGGTAAATAAATTCTAATGTTTTGTGGGAAGTTGAAATTCCTATGAATTGAGACTTCCTCCATTTTTGTTTTTTAATATCAACCAAAAAAATGACTAAAAGGAAATTCATGGGAATTTTGAGTGCCTATGAGTTTATAATTTGCAATTTTATCAAATAAACACATAGCATGAGTCTAATCATTTCGAGCTCAAACCAAAATTTGTGATCCAAACGTTCTTTGAAATTTGTCACAATTTTTACTCAACATTGCCGCTTTATCTTTATGTATATCCTACCTTACCTCGAATTGTTTCTCATAAGCAATTCTTATACCTACAATTGACCTAGTTGAATTAATTTGTTTTTATCTACATATAAGATACACTTAGGGTTACAATGAGCAACCTTGGAATGATATAATTTATTAAAATAAAAATAAAAAAATTATTAAAAAAATATTGAAGCATGGCCAAATTAAATATTGATCGTTACACGAGTTACACCCGATGTACGTGCAATGTAAAAGTTTTAGTTGTTTTGGAATCATAGGTTCGAATTTGAAGTGATTGTTTTCAATTCCCATCTCACTTACATCTTTTATCGTCTCTCGTTTGATTTTCATATCTTTATTGATTGTTCTCCCTTTTTAAGATCCTTTTCAACAATCTTATTTATAACTTTATTAGCCATATTACTTGACTACTTGTGCTTTTTTTCTTCTCATTATTATTTAAAAAAATTGATTTTACTTGTTCACTTTTTTTTTTTTGAAAGCAATACTTATTCACTTAATATTGGTTGAATTTGCATTTTTTTTTTTTTATATTTGTAACATATAGAATTCATAATCGTCATTTTTTTCTAATCTCTTTCTAACTTTTTTTTCCCTTAGCATATGCGTCAGAATCTAATACTCCGTAACATTTACTGCAACTATTAAGGCCTTATTTGGTTGCACCAATATCATGTAGCCACTCAAAATTCCTAGGTATTGCACTAAATGTGAGTTGTTTGGTTAACCAAAATTTTGTAAAATGGAGGAAGTTGAAATTCCTATTTCTATTTCCCACACAATGTGGGAATTAATTTACCAACCTCCCCCTAGGTAATTCAGGAAAATGTTCTATTAACCCATGGGGTTACCAATCCTATGAGGTGGATGCTGACATGTATGAGATGTGGTTATACCTTTTAATTGCTTGAATTATCATTAAATGCAATATTCCATTCATCTTTTCCAATGTTATTTCCCATTTACAATGCAAATCATCTGCCTTAATTTAAGGCATTCCAACGTGTTTTTCCAAGGAGAAACATCTGCTAATCTTGTGTTTTTCCATTCTTCTTATATGTTTTTTTAGCATAATCTTAATTTAGTTTCGAAAATAAGAAGAGTAAAAAAAAAATGAAAAGCTTATGGAAACTAACTGTTATTTTAAAATATGCCCTGCACAACCACAAGATTTGCAGAATCTGTAAATACCCTCATACCTCAAATAGAC